AAAAATCACATCAAAATATGAGAGCCACCCAAGAGGCCTGTCTGTGCTGTAACTTTAAAACTTTTCTGTATTTCTAGCACTCCAGCAAAATTTATTTCAACATTTGCAGATCTGCAAATGTGTTGTTTTTTTTTATCCACATTTATTAATCTGCACCCAGAGATCGCGCACACACGCACAGTATTTGTTACACATTTACAAATCTGAGTATACACACAGACTGAAGAACAAACAACCTTTGACACACATTTGAAAAGAATTGTGCTACGGTATAATCTAGTACACATTGGACATTTATTTTGGTCATAGGCTGTAACTGGCACACAGGAGTCCACTGAATCAGAGATACTCAGTCTACTCAGTCAAATACTGGATCCTTACTGGGTCACATCTTCTCAGTCTGGGGTTAGGTTTTTTAAAACCAGTCAGTTTGTGTTTTTTACTTTTTAAAAAAAATGTTTATATATAATGTTTATGTTCTTAAGATCTGCAGAGCATAATTATAAATGTTTCTATATTGTGTTTGTGTATATTGCTTGAAATCTTCCTTTAATAAATCTTATTTAACTGAAAACTGGGAAGCTAATTTATTATGAAAGCTAAACGTTACAAGCAAACAAGCAGCTGATCTATTATTCCTCTTTATTTATTTGGTAGATATGTGAAAATGAATAAACATGAATCTATTTACATATATTAATATATTAAATGCAGACATTGTCCATGTTTAGACAATGTTTTGTTTTGTTTTTTCCTTTTTCAGATGTATCAGCACGTGCAGGACTTACAAATTTACAATGATTTTTGCTTTCGTTTTTTTTTTGTCTACACCGGCTCACTCCATTCATCCATTCATGTCCAAAACTAGCCGCCTTTTCACAGGGATTACAGATAAAAACGAACTTTTAGCTGTTTCCACACACCAGTATCATGCAACTTTATACGTGTACATGTTCCACTACCTATTGATAGCAGTCATATGGTAGCAGTGCCCATCTACATGCACTTAAACATGCTGATACAATCAAGAAGTTCAAACTGAGCAGAATGGGGAAGAAAGATGATTTAAATGTCTTTGAATGTGGCGTGGTTGTTGGTATCAGACAGGCTGGTCTGAGTATTTCAGAAACTGCAGATCTACTGGGAATTTCCATCACAACTGTCTTTAGGTCCTGCAGAGAAAGTTCTGAAAAAGAACATATCCAGCCATCAGCAGTTCTCTGGATGAATGTTTTATTGATACAAGAGGAGAATGACCAAACTGCTTTGAGCTAATAGGAAGGCAACAGTAAGTAAAAAAACAAAACAAAAACAACTTGTTACCAAGGCCCGCATGTATTTGCATACATTATAGAGGCCACTAGTGCTGACCAAGCTGCCATCTTTCTCTCTTCCCGTCTTTCAATGGCTGCTTCAATTTCAGCTGGACCCTCCAAAGCGCAAGTAAGTAATCGTTTTTTGTCATCTTTCCTTGCTGTCCCACTGGACTGGACATTAGTTTAGTTTTTTTAGCTACATCTGGTGAAGCTGTGGTAAAATGCTGGTATTAGCCTATTCGTCGTAG